ACCCCAAAGAAACCCTGTCCATCGGCCACCACTCCTCATCCCCAGACCCCCCACCCCAGCCCTGGGAGACCACGGCTGTCTCTATGGACAGTTCACAGAGAGGGGCCCCTACAGTACCTGGCCCTTGTGACTGGCCCCGCTCACGTGGCGTAATGTCTTCAGGGCTCGCCCCCAGTTCCTCTCCATGGCTGAGCGATATTCCCTTGTATGGAGAGACCGCAGTTTTTTTTTGTTTTTGTTTTTTAAATATATTTTATTGATTTTTCACAGTGAGGAAGGGAGAGAGATAGAGTTAGAAACATCGATGAGAGAGAAACATCGATCAGCTGCCTCTTGCACATCCCCCACCGGGGATGTGCCCGAAACCCAGGTACATGCCCTTGACCGGAATCGAACCCGGGACCTCTCAGTCCGCAGGCTGACACTCTATCCACTGAGCCAAACCGGTTTCGGCGAGACCGCAGTTTTTAAATCCGTTTCTGTTGATGGTCATTGGGGCTGTGTCCACGCGGGGGCTGCTGTGAATAAATGCTGCTCTGAGCATGTGTGTGCACATCCGTTCTCAGTTCTCTCGGGCGTGTCTAGGTGTGAGACAGTGAGGTGTCTGACACCTCCATGTTTAACGCTGTGAGGCACTGACAGCCCGTCTCCCCGGGGCTCGGGTTCCTCCCCATCCTCTCCAGCACTTGCCCCGTCTGCCTGTGATTACAGCCATTTGTGGGTGTGAAGCAGTACCTCACTGTGGTCTGATGTGCATCTCCCTGACGGCGAGTGATCTTGACCATCTTTGCTCGTACTTGCTGGCTGTTCGTCTTTCTCTCTTTTGGAGAAATGTCTAATCAAATCCTCTGTCCATTTTTTAAAAAATTATATATGTATATTTTTTATTGATTTTAGAGAGAGGAAGGGAGAGGGAGAGAAACATCAATGATGAGAGAGAAATCATCGATCAGCTGCCTCCTGCGTGGGCTCTACTGGGCATCGAGCCTGCAACCTGGGCTCCTGCCCTGATCAGGAATCCAACCTTGTGACCTCCTGGATCATAGGCCAACCCGCAACCACTGAGCCACACCGGCCGGGCCATGTTTGTTTGTTAAATATAATCCCCCCCCTAAGAGCTTTTGGGGGGTGGTCTTCCTGGGCCTCACGAGAAGGACTCCTGACCACCCCTCTGCGAAGGCCCAGCCCACACAGCCGTGTACGTTCACACGCAGCTGGGGAAGCACGCAGGCGTCGAAGACACTCGCTTTGCAAATGTCCCTAACGGCTGCGGCCTCTTCTGTGTTTCCATGGATGAGGTTCCTAAGGCCCTTCTACGGCACGACCATTGCTCCTTCCTCTCCTGGTCGTCCTGGAAGCGAGGGCCCAAGAGAGAGGCCCCTGGGCCCACTTTTGAACTGGGTTGCTTATCTCTTGATAAGTTGTGCCGCTGTCATCTACAGAGTGGACACGGAGGCTCAGAAAGGCGCGGTGACTGGATCGAGAACACGGTGCAGCCCGGCCGCGGGGCTCAGGGGTTGAGCGTCGACCTGTGAACTGGGAGGTCACGGTTCGATTCCCGGTCAGGGCACAGGCCCGGGTTGTGGGCTCGATCCCCAGTGTGGGGCACGCAGGAGGCAGCCGATCCATGATTCTCTCTCATCATGGATGTTTCTCTCTCTCCCTCTCCTTTCCTCTCCGAAATCAATAAACACATTTTTAAAAAGAACACGGGGCTCCCAGTGGCTTGGTCTCCGACTCCCACCCCGCTGGTCAGGGGCCAGCGTCTCTCCACTCGGGGACCGCGTCGTGGCCGGCCCCTGTGGCCCGTCCCCCAGGCCGCCCCAGGCTCTGTCCTGGCAGCGGGTGGGCCAGGGACGAGGACGCGGCAGTTCTGAGGAACCAGCCGGCCCTCTCTTCCCCCCCAAATCACGCGGAACTGACTGACGTGGCCCGGGAAGAGGGGACGGCCCGGGGCTGTGGTCAAGGAGCCTATTTATACTGACGGCGCCGTGTTGCAAGCTCTTCCTGCTGGCGACAGGGACGTCACTGGGCGCTGACCTCACCAGAAACGCTGACGCATCTCCCCTTCACACGTCGCTCAAATGGGCCTCCTCACCTGGGGGGGCCACTCGAGGTCCTCCTGCCCCCCCTTGCCCCGCCCACCCAGCTCTGGCGTCTCACCCAGGGTCCCGACTTCCTGTGGCCCCCCAACCACGTCCCCTTTTTGTAAGCCATGATGGGCTGGATGGTGTTGCTCCGTCCAAGCCTCCAGAGCCTCAGCATGTGAATGCATTTGGCGATGGGGCCTGGAAAGAGGCGACTGAGGAAAAATGAGTCATGGGATGGGCCCTCATCGAATAGGACTGTCTTCCTTATAAGAAGAGGAGCTGAGGACACAGATACACACACACAGGCCGAGGGAGGACCGCGTGAGGAGGCAACGAGCAGGCGGCCGTCTGCAAATCCAGGAGAGAGGCTGCAGGATGCCGTCGGCCTTGCTGACACCGGACGACCCCTGACTTCCAGGTCTGGGACTGTGAGAACATACATTCCTAGTGTATCAGCCGCCCGGGCTGTGGTATTTTGGTCTGGCGTCCCCAGCAAGACGACAGATCGGCCTTTTTTGCCTTTGGTAGCCCTGGTCCCCGGGGCCTGCACAGGCACCTCCGTGAGCCCCCTGCTCAGAGCAAGGTCTTTCACATTGCACAGCCCTAGAATGAATGCCCTGCCTCTGAAATGTCACCACGAATAGTGACCTCAGGCAGGTGACGTCATGTCTCTGGGCCTCAGAGGCATATATATACTAGAGGCCCAATGCACGAATTTCGTGCAAGGGGCTCGGCCCTCGCAGCCCCAGCTTCGTCAGGAAGGACGTCCGGAAGGTCGTCCGGTCTAATTAGCATATTACGCTTTTATTATTATAGATATATGTATTTATATACTTAATTGATTTCAGAGAGAAAGGGAGAGAGAATGAGAGAGAGAAACATCAATGATGAGAGAGAATCATGGATCAGCTGCCTCCTGCACCCCCCCTACTGAGGATGGAGCCTGCAACCCGGGCATGTGAATCGAACCGTGACCTGCTAGTTCACAGGTTGACACTCAACCACTGAGCCACGGCAGCCGGGCTCAGAGGCCTTTTTAAGCCACGGAGACAGTCGCCCCCCCCTGGACCGTGGGGAGAGGAGGATGCACATGGCTGTCCCCCGAGGGTGGAGACCGGTCAGCAGGAGCTGAGAGGGGCCAGGAGCTGCCCCCCAGACCTGGCCCTGGAGCCAGGCCCCGAGCTTCTCTGAATTTCGGTTTCCTCCTTAAAGGAGCCAACACCCCCCGGCCGGCCACTCCCCCTCACGGGGCTGTTGCAAAACGAGAGCAGGGATGTGAAATGAAGAAGGAGCGGAGGCATGGACACAGGAAGCAACCCTGCGGGGGTGGCACCGAAATGAGGAATTTAGCGGAAGCAACACGCTCAGAGGAGAATCCAGAACTGGCCCTTGGGGTGGTGATGGGGTGATTGGGCCCAGTGGGGTGATTGGGCATGGTGGGGTGATTGGGCCCAGTGGGGTGATTGGGCCCAGTGGGGTGATCGGGCATGGTGGGGTGATTGCGCATGGTGCAGCGAGCACTGTGTTGGGGTGCCAGGGAGTGGGTGGGGCTGAGGAGCCACCTCCTGGGCATGGGGGTGCGTCTGGTGGTGCCCACTGTGGAGCTGCAGCACCTGGGTGGCTGGCACAGAGGTGGCAGGGGGACATTTGTTGAAGGAATGAAGGCGTCTCTGCAGAGGGAACAGCCGGTGGGCACGGCGTCGGTGGCCGTGACCGGTGCCAGGAGTGGAGACGGACAGGAGCGCATCAGCCCTGGCACCTGGGCTTTGCCCGTCCAGGCTCCAGAGGCCCAGCCGGAGCAGCCCAGGCCTCCCTGGCAGCCTGCAGAGGCCCCGCCCTGGCTCCCCAGCCTCGGACACCCCCCTTCCTGCCAGACTCCGGAGGCCTCGGGCCAGCGAGCGACCTTCTCCCAGGCCTGGCCAACGTGCTGGACTCCCAGACAGGGCCTGCAGGCCCGGGCAGCCCCTCTGCCTCTTTTGCCCCCACCTGGGCCTCAGTTTACCCCAGGGTGAGGGAGCTGGTTGCCTCGGGAGGCGCCGACTCCAGGGCCCCTTCCCTCTGATGCTCAGAGGTCTGTGAGACTCAGGACCAGCCCACGATCGCTATCTTTCAGAGAAAGTGAAACCTGGTGCCAACCGTCACCAGGGCGACTCCCCTCCCCGGCTGGTTTCCCCTCTGAGCTCACAGCTTCCCCCTCTCCTCCACTCCCTTTCCCACAACGCCCCCCTCTCGGCCTCCCCCCGCCCCCCAGCGAGTACTTGGAATTAGGCTTTCATCTTTCCTTTTTCCTTCAAAGAACCTTTGCCTTTTATGTCCATGACGCTCCTTGCGGCCTGTGAGGTGGGCCGGGAAATGCTTTTCAAATCCTCTTTTGCAGGTGGGGCCCCGAGGCCCAGAGAGGTTAGGCAATTTGCCTCAGGCCACAGAGCGTGGCAGCGGGCTTGGACCCGCTTCGCTGGGGAGAACCAAGCGCCGGCTTCTCCCCGGAGGACCCTGTCTGCACAGGGGCCCG